CAAGACCAGCCCCAGAACCGAGCCCTAGGGAGCACCGCTTGTGACTGGCAACTAGCTGGATTTAACACCATTCACCACAACTCTCTGGGCTTGGCCATCCAGCCAGTTCTTTACCCAGTGAAGAATAAACCTGTCTAAACCACGAGCTGCCAGTTTCTCCAGGAGAATGCTGTGGGAGACACTGTCAAAGGCTTTACTAAATAAAATCCAGGTAGACAACATCCAGCCTTCCCCATATCCACTAGGTGAGTCACCTGGTCATAGAAGGAGATCAGGTTGGTCAAGCAGGACCTGCCTTTCATGAACCCATGCTGGCTGGGCCTGATCCCTTGGTTGTCCTGCACATGCCCTGTGAGCACTCTCAAGATGAACTGTTCCATGATCTTCCCTGGTACCGAGGTCAGGCTGACAGGCTTGTAGTTCCCTGGACGCTTCTTCCAGTCTTTGTTTTTAGTCTTCTGGGACCTTCCCTGTTAACCAGGACTGCTGATAAATGATGGAGAGTGTCTTGGCAAGCTCCTCCGCCAGCTCTCTCGGTACTCTTGGGTGAATCCCATCAGGCCCCATAGACTTGTGGGTGTCCAGGTAGCTTAACAGGTCCTTAACTGCTTCCTCCTGGATTATGGCCGGGCTATTGTGAAGGCACCCCTGCAGCCCCCTACTACTAAACCCTTGCCACGCAAACCCAATACTTACTTGTAGACATAGAATGTTATGATATATGCCCTGCTTAAAAGAATTTAAAAGTGAAGCACATCATACTAATTCCAGTAATGGAGAAGGTATTGGAAACGTTGAGTTCTGTTAGAAAAGCATTTTGGAACTTGGAAAAAGTTCCTGTTGATTTTGGCTTTCCTCTGACTGTATTGGGGTGATACCCCACTGCTGATGGAGGGCATCCTTTTGGATGATCAGTGTCTTAACTGCATGTACTAGAAATACAGTTAAATTTCATGAGCTGCAGAAACTATTTTAAGTTCTTAATTTCTGAGCCTGGGTTCCAGGGAATAAAAAGTTGTCAAAGAACAATTTTCAATGATAAAATAAACTACAGGAGATCATGATTTGCCTATCTTGAATATTAGCAAAAATGTGTATTTATTTTAAAAAGCATATACAAAATAATTTATTTTTTTTCCTAACCTTTTAAGTAGCATTGATAAACATTGTCAGTAATTTAAGTTTTCTCTCTCAAAGGACTGACAAGGTTGCTTTTTATTTCAAGTTGTCTTCAAAATATTTTGTGATCTATCATTGTAAAAGATGCTAAATAAGTGTACAGTTCCCTGATACAACACTATTTTGTGTGTTTATTGACATAAATCTTCTGCTAAAAAGATGAAACTGTGAACTCTGATGTTCTGCAATACAGACTGAAGTCCTTACAGGCTAATACACAATATACTGTCTATATTATGGCAAACAATGAAGCTGGTGGGACCAGTGGAGAGCCAAAAACCTTCAAGACTTTGAAATTCAGTAAGTAATATTCCAGGTTGGTTATTACTATTTTAAAAACAGGATTGGGAGTAAGCAATGTAGGACATTTTTGTTTAGGCATTTGTTCTTTTTTTTTTTTTTTTTAATTAGAGTTAAACAAAAGAAGGAAAAATTACCAACACTAGTGAATTTAACTCAATTTCACTGATCATCTCACAGACTAAAACTTCAAGATTAGAAGTCAAAACCCAGAATCTTTATTTTGCTGTCAATAAAGCTGTGGAATACTATGGATGTTTGTGGGAGCAACAGTTTGTGCTGTGAGTTATGGGATGTGGTGCCTAAAAGTTGACATTTCCATCTGAGGTACTAGATATAGAATAGCTGTGCATTGTGTCACATCCCTTCTGCTGTATAAGCTTAACTAATAAATGAGTGCACAGGTTGTGGCCAGTGTGTGTGGGGAAATGTCTTTTCCTATTTCTTACGATTTGTCTTAGCCAGATTTTACCAAGGAGGTTGGTATGATGGCTGCAGGTCAGAAGTTCAGACACTTCCTCATTTCTACTTCTGGAAGAATGTTTTCAATACATACATAAATTATCATAGTGGTGGCCAGTCTGAAATATAAAAAAGGGCATGAGCTATCCTTAAACTTGTCATGTGACTCAAAGCTAATTTATTTTTTGCCTATAAATTCATCAGCTAGTTTGCTATTCAAATGCAATGTAAGTTAGACTATGCTTATATCTGGTCTCTATTTCTGTCAGCTTGGAAGACAGCTCAGAAATCTGCGTACTGTTTCAGTGAGAGTAACTGTATTTTTTGTATATTTAAAAACCTATCTCCTGCATTGAATTTGCTGCTTATTTTGTAGTAGGTGGTAGAAGTGGCACTATATGGCAGTTTTAGGTGACTCTAAAATAACAGGTCCTCAGAGAGGTGGTAGACTCTTCATCCTAGGTGACTTTCAAAGGTTGGCTTGGTATGACACTAAGCAACATGATTCTAATTGCAAAGGCGGACGAGGTGACCTACAGATGTCCCCTCCAACCTGAATTATTGTGTGATTCTGTTAAATAAAGGAAATTTTAAAATGCAATACATCTGTTCCTGAGATACCCTGAGAAGTCTCATCATGAGCTGCTTCTCTGGCTCAGTAACTGTGACTTGTTGGATTCAAAATACTCATCTTTTGACATGTTGTACAATGAGTACCATACAGTATTCTGAGTAAGTTTGGCTAGTTTTGACAGGGCTCTTTAGGATTGTGCTAATTAGCTGACTTGGATGTTGAAAATTAGCTATCTTATACAAATACATGAAGAAATGATAAACATCTGTGGGTTTTTTTCCCCCCTCTAAAGATAAAGAAGATGTTATTTTCATTGCTCTACCCATTGGATTAAGCCTGTTGTTTCTGTTAGGCCTTTGGATAACATGCATTTTGAACAAACACGTGTGAGTACGTTTTCTACCTTCTAAAACTGAATGCAATCAGTTAATTTTAACCTGTAAAAGAGAATTTTTTATAAATGCTTGTGTTGGGTTCCAAAACAATGTCAAATTAAGAAAATAAGAGATTGAAGTAACAAATAACTAAGCATACAGATTATCTCGTAACTGCAGTTACTGTGCTATAATCCAAAAATAAATACTAATTTTAGAAAATGCAGTAAATCAGAACAAAAGAAATAGGAGAAACAAATTTACATATCACCTATATCAGTCTATGGAAAATGCTACATGCCATTTGCAGTTCTGTGGTCAATCAGGTGAGGAGAGCATACTTTAAGTCAGTTACTGAAAAGTTAACAATGCCAAAAATAAAGTTTCCCAGGCACTCTTAATATATCTGCTAATACACCACTAGAACATACATTTCACATAACCCCTACTGCTCATCTTAGCTACATTAATGTTGCTTTTGTTAGTTTGTGACATTTCCATTGGGCTGTAAAGAAGTCATGGAGAAACTAGAAATTATATCAAGTGAAAGGATTTGGATGCTTGATCCATGCGTATGGATCCCTATCTATATACGATTCATAATCCTTTTATCTGCTGTCACAGGTATCCCCTGCCAGATTTTAAATTGTTTCTTCAGAGGGGATGCTATAACATCCAAAGGATGACTGTGAGGATTTTTTAAGGTTATAAAATGTGCTTTTCTTTAGCCTGAAAAGTGACCGGGTTGTTTGGCTGAAGCGTAATAAGAAGGTTAAAAATCTTAATTATTTTGTGGTTTTCTAAGCTATTAGAACCAAGATTATTGTCATGCAAAGCATCAGGTAATAAGTATAGCTAAAGTAGTAAGTATAATTTCCAGCTCTTTTACATCTTCATTTGTGTTGTGTATTCTGAATTTTTACAATAGTAAGAAACTATGTTTTGATTCTGGAGAATACCTTGAGATGTAGTTGAGTGTTTATATTCTTGTGCAGATCAAATTGCAATGTGAAAAGTCAAGCTATGGCCTGGTTTTCATTCACTTATATATATACCCAGTACCAATGAGAGATTCATTTTGTTTCCTGTTTACTACTCCATTGGACAGCTGTAAGCTACAGTGTTGGTTAGCATCATTTGTCTGCTGTGAACATAAGATCTCAGTGTAGCTCTAGTGTGGTGTAGTTCTAGGGACATTTTCCTAGAGCAAAGTTTACCTGAGGTGGCTTTTCACTGAAGAACCACAATGAAACATGATCACAACAGGTTTTGTATATAGCATTATTTTGGCGTGCTATCAGTTGATCTACTATATAATTTTTTAAAATTACTTGTGTGCATTATTAATTTTTCTGCAATGTTTCTGTAACCCAAGATTTTTACTTGTTGAGATCCTTTGTAATAAAAATCAATGTGAGGGAAAACAATTGTAATGAAAAAGACTGTGTTAATATAGGAAAGGCTTCCTTTGTGAAAGTTTGATATTTTAGCAGTATTTGGGCTTTCTGGAGATTTGTTAATTTTATTTTTAATAATCTACTTCTTTCATCATTTGACTAAAATTCCTTTCTCAATGATAGGTTTAAAAAGATTTGCTGGCCTGATATACCCAATCCTGCAGAGAGCATTGCAGTGGAATGGCCGCTTGATACATCTGTGGTAATAATTGCAATTTTATGTATTTTAGAAAGGATCAAATGGAGGGAAGTCAGGTCCTCCTCTGACAGTCATTTATGACTAAATAAAAAAAACTGTTGAGTTTCATTCTTCTATTTCAGTGGTATAAAATGTTCTTAATTGTATTTCCAATTAATAGAAAAGATGCATCATTATAAAGTGTATTCATTTAATTCTTATATGATAACAAGAAATAATGTTTTGAAGTTATAAAGTGATGGTGGACATGGTTTATTAAATCAAGTCAATTAAATTTGCTCAGATTATTGAGTCTACTGAGTCAGATTCCCACATCTGGATATCTCCTCCTTTATCCACAAAAAATGGAGTGCAACATACAGGATTTGGTGTGTTACAGCACTAACATTTCCCTCTTTTTTTATTGTTGGATATGTATTCCGTATTAGAGCTTTGATGTTTCTTTGAATGAAGTGGAGTTGATCAGGTTTACATAGAAAGTGTAATCTGTGGAGAATGGGATTTAAACTTCTGTCTGAAAAATTGCTGGTTAGAGTGGAAAAGATGGAAACAGTCTGAGCCTGATTTCGAGCCTTCAGTGAAACTCCTCATTTTATTAAGCACAGAAAACCTAATATGAAAGTGTTTAAGAAATGGACAGAATAACATTGTCATTTTTAGTACTCATTCACATATAACCGCATCCCAGCTGAAATGCATATGGACTCTTCATTCATGTACTTTTAAAATTAAGTCAGAGCTCACATGGCAATATTTTATATATTAAAAATATAAACTAATACATTATCTACACTATGTAACTTTCCCATTTATCTCTTTGTACTGACAGAATAATTCATTCTTGAAGGGAGTGACATCTGAGGCTAAAACCATAGACTTTGAAGATATAAGTGTTTTGGAACATTGTTTACCTGAAGAAAGTCAGGGAGGATCACTAGTAAGGAATTGTGAAGACCATGTTTCTGAATGTACTGATACTAATACAAAAGGCACAGTTAATGGCGATAAAAAGATACTGTGTAATGAAGAAAATGAAGTTGCTAAACATTTTTCACCATCCGTGCCTTACGTAATTACTGACCGAGGTACCACAAGTCAAACACATTCAGCTTTGATACCAGCGAAGGAAATCCAACCCATAGAAATGCTGGAAGATGATTTTTGTGAATCCCAACAGACTTCAATTAAAAATGAAGAAGGTGATCATGAAGAAGTTTTAAAGCTGGAAGATTTCAGTGGAAAAGCACAGTTCAATCCATACCTTAAAAATTCTGTTAAAACAAGGGAATTTCTTATTTTTGAGAACTTGCCAGAACACAGTAAGAATAAACCCCAAAGCCAGTCAACTGTCTTACCTCTTTTTCAGCCAAATGTTGCAGGACAATCCTACGTAACATTGGACATGTTCGGGCTGGCCACAGCTCATTAGTGTGAGAAAACTTCCCTTTGTGAAGTCCCCTTGTGAGATACATCTTGGCACTGCTGCTTATATGTATTCATATGTTCTAACCTGGCTGATCTCAGTTAATTTGCATGAAAACACTCCCTTCCTTTGAACAGCTGTGGAGTAATTTTTTGCACTGTGTTGTTAGCTGTCAGTATTCACTTTCAGGGTGGAGTGGGGTTTTTTTTTGTTTGGTTGGTTTTGTTTTTTTACCAGATGGATGTGCCAGTAGTGAGGCAAAGGAAGCAGCTTTTCTTATTTTGTCTTACACCCAGTACATTCTCCCATATTAGTCTGCTAAACAAATTGATCTTTACTGCGGGAGCATCCAACAGCGCAAGCAGCTCACCGATTTTCCCCCCGGCAGCCAGTTCCCATGGCTGACCTCTGCTGGGGGAACGTGGACTGACTTGAACAGAGCCAGGATCTGCCAAATCCTTCCTTAAGTTGGAGTAGAACTACTTTCCTGTTCTTATTTCCTTCGATTGTTTTGTAACTGGCTTTATGTATAGTGTTCCTCCTGTTTTGCAAATACTTGGTAGCTACCATTTCAGTAATTGTCATTTTGCATCCTGACTCTTGAATCAGTGCTTTGGCTCATAGTTCCACTGTGTTTAAAGAGCAGATATTTGTTATGCATATGCTGTCTGCATTTTGGAAAAAGTAGGGTTATGCTGGCTTTGTTGCTTCCTTGCTTTTCTCCTGTGTTTTTAGTCATCCTGTGCATTTTGTGCTGCTTTTGTCTCTCGTGTTTGTTTGCTGCTTTTTAGAACTTTTACTGCAGGATATCTTCTTATCTTCCTGTTCCTTTGCCTCTAATTTCTCCCAGTTTAAAACTGTGTTTCCCAGTTGAGGTTTTGATATTTTGAACTGCAAAAAATAATTAAGTACAGTATCTTGTGTTGGAATAAGTACTGAGTTTATATTTAGGAAATTTTTTTTCTGGGAGGTATTGAAACAAAAACTAAGTCTACAAAATATCCCCAGATATCCTCTGGTAATTGATTTAGGATTAGAGATTTCTACATGAAGGCTATAACTTTTGTCATTTGTTATATGATTTTGACAAGTTATAAACCTACTTGTAACTTCCATTTAATACAGCAGCAATTAAGCAGGAAATTCTCCATCACACTGATTTTTTTTTTTTTTTTCCAGCAGGGAAGAGTCTATTACTGTAAAATTCTTACTGAAATTTTTACTCTGTTAAATGACAGTTTAAGAAAAAGAGATGGAAAATCAGCTCTAAGTAAATGTGTTACAAGGGGATGTTCAGTATGACATATGTGGCATACAGTCACTTTAAGACTTTATTTTCGCAGTATTTAAAGGCTTGACATAATCAGTCTTGTTTGCACATAATTACAGACTTCTTTAAGGGTAAAAAAGATACAGGAGTCATGGGGATAAAGGAGAGACAAATGTGAATAAGAATAGAAAGTCTTTTCTTTCTGTGCAGGAAGAGGAGTGGGAGAATGGAAAATACATTGTCCAGCATGAATAAGGAGGCTGAACTGTACCCTGGATGTATTGGCTACTACTTGCATTGTACTGGGGAAGACAGGGTAAAGTTTGCATTTAGGCTTTGCATCTGTAGTTTGGAAGCTGCTTTTACTTATCACAATGTCTGTTTAGTTTCCAAGAAAGGATGAGAAGATAATTTCTGCAAATGTTCCTTGTACAGCAACAGTGATTTCCACCCCACCAAGTTTGTTTGATCACTGTCCAAATCACAGTGCTGTAAGTCAAAATGTATGTATGTTTGTTCTTAAAAGCCCTTGCTTACTTAGATAAGTCATGCTCTGAAATGAGCATGGGACACAGCTTTGGTTGGGTCAGTGCTCCTGCTTCTTCACTCGCTTCCAGACTTCTCACTCACAGCTACGTTACTGTTTCCTAGGGTTCAGAAGTCACTGACTCGGTCACAGCAGTTTTTTCCCCCTTAAATCTCAGTATTTGTTTTAATATCACAGAATTTAAAAATAAACAGAGACAGAGGTATTTTGCAGGCCATCTAGGAATTGTGTAGCAGCCATATGAAAGCTGCATACTCTGAGTTGCATGATTGAGTCAGGTAAAAAATAAAAATAATGCAACCTTTAAGAGATCATTAGAAAAGGGAGGTTCTTGCTGGGTGGTTTGGGTAGGGTCTCCCTGTAACATCTCTTAGCTTCTGGAGGGTAAGAACAAACCTGCTTTTCCATCACATTTTATTTCCTTCTCTATTGCTGTTCTGCTTTTCTCTCCTGATTTCTGATTTCCTAGCCCATTATTTTCTTTGAAACAGAGTAATACAGTGAGTAGGCTCAGTACATCTTGGAAATTAGGGCTGCCTTCTGCCTGTGCTTTGGAACACCAGCTTCTTGGACTTGGTTTGTTTTGCATTCAGAGTTGTACTCTTTCTGACCTTCTACAATGTCTTTCAACCTAATGCTGTGACACATGAGAAAAATAAAACTGAAAGCACATGGAAAAGTTTTTGTCAATTTATACTAAATACATCTTTTAGACATTTTAGATTTTTGTATTCATTTAGAAATGTGATCCTATTTTGAGAGGGATCCACAAGTACATTGGTTATTTGGGCAGTTATTCCAGTATTGTAACGTCAAGTGGCAATGTCATGTTGGACATTACAGTACTTTAACTTGTTGGTACATTTTGTAATAGAACATCTGGTGTCATTATTCCTAGAGAGTGGTTTTCCTAGATTTAATTTAGTTTCACCATCACTGATCTGAAAAATGCCCATTTCTAACCCTGCAGAAAATTAGTATCTCAGGTAAATGGGTCTTTGCAAGGTTTCTAGAGATCAGCTTGTGGCATAATTTCAAGAAGATATTGATGCACAGTTGTCATTCTTCTGTGTAGCATACAAAGAGTTTCTTTCTGACCTTGCGGCTTGTGCCCTGCATATTATTAATAGGTCACGTTTTTCACAGACTCATAGAATCATAGAATAGTTTGTGTTGGAAAGGACCTTTACAGGTCATCTAGTCCAACCCCCCTGCAATGATCAGGGACAGCTTCAACTAGATCAGGTTGCTCAGAGCCCTGTCCAACCAGGCCTTGAATGTTTCCAGGGATGAGGCATCTACCACCTCTCTGGGCAACCTGTCCCAGTGTTTCACCACTGCCCCCACCCATTTTTTTTGTGAAAAATTTCTTCCTTATGTCTAGTCTAAGTCTGCTCTCTTTTTAGTTTAAAACCATTACCCCTTGTCCTGTTGCAACAGGCCCTGCTAAAAAGCCTGTCCCCATCTTTCTTATTGGCCCCCTTTAAGTACTTGAAACTTGCAAGAAGATCTCCCCAGAGCATTCTCTTCTCCAGGCTCAACAACCCCAACTCTCTCAGCCTGTCCTCACAGGAGAGGTGTTCCATCCCTCTTAATTGTTTCTGTGACTCTCTGGACCCGCTCCAACAGGTCCATGTATTTCTTGTGCTGAGAGCTCCAGAGCTGGGGACACAACTCCAGCTGTGATCTCAGCAGAGCAGAGTAGAGGGGCAGAATCCCCTCCCTCGACCTGCTGGACGCACTTCTTTGGATGCAGCCCAGGATATGGTTGGCCTTCTGGGCTGCGAGCGCACATTGCTGGCTCATGTCCAGCTTTTCATCCACCAGTACCCCTGAGTCCTTCTGGGCAGGGCTGCTCTCAATCCCTTCATCCCCAAGCCTGTACTGATACCGGGGGTTGCCCCAACCCATTCTGCACTTGGCCTTGTTGGACCTCATGAGGTTCACATGGGCCCATTCCTTGAGCTTGTCCAAGTCCCTCTGGATGGCATCCCATCCCTCAGGTGTGTCAGCTGCATCACTCAGCTTGGTGTCATCTGCAAACTTGCTGAGGGTGCACTTGATCGCCCTATGTCATTGATGAAGATATTAAAGAGTACTGGTCCCAGTACAGACCCCTGAGGGACACTGCTCGTCACCAGTCTTTATCTGGATATTGAGCCATTGCCCACTACCCTCTGGGTGTGACCATCCAACCAATTCCGCATCCACTCAACAGTTCACCCATCAAATCCATAACTCTCCAATGTAGAGGGAAGGATGTTGTGGGGGACCATGTCAAAGGCCTTACAGAAGTCCAGAGAGATGACTGGTAATTTTGACTTACCAGATTTCTAGCTAAATTAAATGTTCAGTCTTTTGTTACCTGAGTTGATAAACTCCCCAGAACTTTGAATTCTTTGAACAGGAATCACACAAACTCTTTGATATTACGGAGTAATCTATTATAGGCAGATTTTCTGTACTACATAACATATGGTATTTCTGTGTTTTTCATGCCTTTTACAATTGCCCAAATAGGGGGAAAAATTATGTTAGTGGTTAATGCAGTGCAGGGAAAGAAGCTTTCTTCCTCCAGTTAACACTCAGTTGGTCTGTGCATGCTTCTCCAGAGATTATGTGATTGCTGCTGAACAGGTGCTATAGATGGACTGGCAAGGAGTCTGACCTAGCTGGTGCTATTTAGTGTTTTTCTTGCCACAACATGTATTTCATTACAGATAACATGTTGTCTTTTCCTATTCCTGAAAGACTGATTTATTACAAATAGATTTTTTGAGACAGTTGATGATTTCTGAAGATAGATGTTTCAACTTCTGTTCATGAATGAGAACTTACTCAGAAGAGCTGCATCGCTAGTCCAAGTTTGGTATCTCATGTAGCAGAGGTAAATGTTTGTATGTAACAGAGCCCTAATTTGAGCACAGAGTATGTGTGTGGGACTTGTAGCTTCTATTCTTGCTCAGCAAATGGGTTCACGTCACCTTTGCAGTCATTTCAACAGTCCTGCTACAATTCCTTTTTACCAATTTTGCAACGTGGTGCTGTAGGCCTCATGTTGGTATGTTGCTTGGAGATTTAACACTGCAAGATGGGTAAAGGAGTCCAGGAAGGCTGGACATTCTTCAAGGAGAAAATCTTAAACATGCAGGAGCAGGCTGGCCCTAAGTGCCGAAAGATGAGCCGGTG